AATTCACATTCTTGGACGGTTTTTATGCAGTCTATGACGATCTATTAGTCGATCTATTGGTCAATAGCGCTTCTGTTCCTGTCTTTCCATAACGAGGATCAAGGGGACGATAAGTAATAACCTTTTTGTTATTGCGACTTGTGTATCCGTCAGTCCATACCATTTCCATGGGGAGACATGGAAAACGCGACCATCGCAGCTGTTAACCTAAAGCTGGAGAAAATTAGTAAATTCTTTAGCGTCTTATTGGGGGCAGACCCAGCCATCGAAACTAGCGGGATGGAATGGTTTAAAATTATCCTAGATGTATTTGTAAATACTGACTGAATAAATCTTTGAAGCGGCGAGAGCATGATATGCAAGGGTTCCATCAGAAAATTTTTCTAGCAACAGGTACTTTAGCGTCAGCCATCAGTAGATATGGTCGGGCGGCCAGCAGGCAGCCCGACCCGTTGACTTGGCGTGTCGACTTGGTGAAGCGGCCAAGCGGTCCTTCTCTTTTCTCCCCTCTCAAGCCAGTGGATAAAATTGTGGGTAAATCGCAATCGACGAGGGGAGATGACTCGGTGTCTTTTCGATTCCCTTTCCCACCCGGTTTTCCTTACTCCGGACTCGGTCCCCTACATTGTTTTTTCGTGGATACTATTTATTATGGCCTATTTTTTTCTCTTCCTGATGGAATCGGAAGTGACAAATGCCGTTAGACCCAAGGGGGGAAAGGCCGAAATATGGAGACATGACCGATTTCAGGTAATTTTAATTCATGAAACTGGAACTGGTCATGTACAGGGTCGTGTCTGCTATGCTTTCTTTGCTTGTGGGGGTGGGGGGAATATGAGGGTTTTTAAATTGAATTAGAGAATTTTTTTACTTGGACACGCGTTTTTCTAGAATGTTTGTCGAATTCGAGTGGAGAACTTCTCCAGCGGAAAACACAGCGGAAAACACTGCTTCAGATCGTATTCTTGTTAATCCTTTCATGGCGTATGATCATTATAAGTTTCATATATTTCTTGAAACTTGCTCTTGCGGTTACCATTGGGCAAAACTTATCTTACATGGAATCGCTTAATAGCTCTTAAATGGCTCTTTCGGGATTCGTTTAAATAAGTTGTAGTTCTGGCAAGTTGGAGCAGAAGGAAAAGTTGCGACCTGATTTATTCCTTTTTTTGTGAAATGGAGTTTTTGAATATTTTTCTCATATTTCTTTTAGTCTCATATTTATTCACTCTTCACCGTGTTTATTTTCACTAAATGCCTTGAGTTGGCCTATTTTCTCGACCTTCTAATGGCAGAATATGCATGAAATGGCGTGAAACCGGTGGTAAATGAAACAGGTTGAAAACTATCAGAACAGAATTCGAATTCCAAATCTGATGTCGCGGTTTTCTGGCCAAGAAAATTATTTTCGCGAATGCTGGCCTTCGATAAATCACCTGAATGCTGGAAATATGAATTGATTTTAAAATGTACATATGAATATTTGTGCTGTAGCATATACATATGAATCAAATCATTTTAAAACGAAAGGTAATCATTTAAACTCTTCGTAAATCAGACGTCAAGAATTTCGTGACCACTGCTTTTTACTGGATAGGCAGGCAAGTTGAGCTGTTGGGTCTGGCGCTAATTCTACAGAGTTCTTAGAACTGACCTCATGAACAGCGGCATCTCTGGACAGCCAGGGGAATCGTACCTCCTAATCAGTTTCTCTGGGAAGAATCTGCCTAATCGGCTTTGGTTTCTTATCGTTTCTCAAAAAGAGGAAGAAATTTCACAAGGGTGGGAAAATAGCGCGTACACTAAGGCTTTAATAGCGAAATTATATAGGGAAACACGTTGGGCAATATTTAAGTAGCACAATGAAACGAATGTCTGACGAGTCCGTCCACTTGAGAGATAACCCCTTTGGAAAGGCTCGGGCAATGTAATGAAACTCGCATGATCCACGCGGAAAATTTCTTCTTCCTCGCTCCCTCATCTCCCTCCACGGCTCCGATGTGAGACGCGGAAATTCGATTTCTTTCTCGCTGTCCCATGATTCCCAGCGCCTTTTCGGAAGAGTCTTCAGACGGTTTCTCTTCGAAAAAGAAAACTTTCCGAGAAAAGTCGGCCAGGCTCTCGTCATTCCTTCGTCGCTCGTTCCTCGTAGAAATTTTGTGTATCATCCTCGTCCATCTTTGTGCGGAATTGCGCATTGCATTCTCCTAACGTTCTTCCTGACAGTACGATGACGCAAGAATGTCACTATTTTGGAAGGGACGCGAGGTCGGGGATTTCTCAAAAACGAGGACGAATTTCAAAAGTTCCTCCTTCTTGTAGGTCGAATTATAAGTCCTCAACTAGTTTCATGTGACGGAAAATTACAGATAGTGTTCAACAAATTCAGGAAAGAAATCCAGCGTCGCTTCCCAAATAGAATATAAATTTATAACAGCAGCGAAATTTCCAAAACTCAATCCACGGCAATTGAAAGAAAAGAAAAATACGACAGGACATAAAACCAAAATCACAGGAACCACAGCCTAAATTCGAATTCCTACTTGATCCCCGGCCAACCCAACAACTTTCTTTCTTTTCTCTCTCTTCTAACTTTCTCAACTCTACTCCCTGCGGTCCATTGTCTCAGCCGTCCTCACCCAGATCATCCCTTTTTCCCCTTTCCCATTTCTTCCTGCTTTCTTCTTGGCTTGCACTTGCTCTACTGGAAAAAGCCATTGATGGATTATAGGGGTTGGAATTGACAAGGTTTATCCATTTCTGCAATGGACGTGCCTTCGCTACTTTTTTAAAAAGAAATTTTACTTTGTTCAGTTCTTAAAGAAAGAAAATGCCAAAACTTCAATAGCCCACATCCAGAAAACCTGTTCACTGCATTTGAGGAATACGATTCTTTTCTGATCATCACTTCTCAAAATTACATATGTACTTGCTATAACAACCGTCACGGAGGTTGGTGGTGCAAGCATGGCCATGCTGTTAAATTTTCCTTACCTCCAGTGCCCAGACACAACAAATACAACCCCTGAATGCTGAAAGGGAAACAAATCACCATATTGATAGCTTGTCCACACAAGCAGTGCCCACACAAAATCACGGTGCAGCAACATTGCACGGACGTCATGTGCTGCTGGAGTCCTTTCTTATGTTAGGCAATGTTGAGGGATTGACTTGATGGTTGAATCTAAGATTATACTTTTTTGTTCCTTTGTAAGGAAGTACGTGATAATGCAACAGGAATGAATGTTGTACTGTAAAATATAAGTCTACTCACATTCATACATCCACCCTGTCGCCATCCATACGGATGGAGGGAAAGGAAAGAAACATTTGGTAAGATTACAAACCAGAAGAGGTTCCAAGTGGATGAAAGAGATGAAGATCGCATTCACATATATACACACAAAAAGAAGAATGATAGCGTCTACCATCTCCTGACGGTCTAAGTTTAAAAAAAAATCTCTTCACGACCCAGTCAGGAGGTTAACTCTTGGAGGAGATGGCTTTGTGTCCTTGAAGGGCACCGGTCTCGGGGCCCACTATGAGTCGGTGTTTCTGGACCCTCTGGGAACGAAAGTATATGGGTAACCTTGGGTTTGGTGAGAGGAGGATTCGGTTACTACTCCAGGATTCTCCTCACTTTATAAACATTTGGCCTGCATGGCTACGGGATGGGAAGTTGAAGACTGGCTTGATCGGGTACTTCGGCAGCCTTAGGTTCGCCTCCTTCAGGCTGTGAACAGGATGGGGCAAGTAAACCCATTAGCGCCGCGAGAGGGATCGACAACACCAAGAGGGGCTCTCCGTCTAGGCCTATTATTACACAACTGATGGCAGCCATAGGTCAGTCGGGGTCTGCTTGACTTGACTTTCCTTCAGAGAGACTTTGAAGCCCATCATACAGTTGATTATTTCATTATTCGTCGGCTTCCTAGAGTTTGCACGATAGAAATACTTCACACTTTCGACAAGGGAAAGATGGCTTTGATGGAAGCGGGGGCTGACCATCTTGTGGCTATTTGTTTTACGAAAAATGTCGATGCGTCTTTTCAAATAAAAGCACCCGAAATACATGCACACCACGCGCCTCAAACATGATATACCCCACGTGACGTCATTCACTAGTTGCATTTTATTGGTTCGGAGCTACCGTTCTCTAGCCGCTTGTCCTCAACCCGGTTGACCCAATGACCCGACAAGACCAGAAGTACCGACCCCCAGAGTTGCCGGATACCGTGTCGAAATTATGATTCAAGACTGTTTCATCATTCATATTGGCGTCTGGATCTTGTTTACTAATGTATGCGATATTGTTGTGCCGAGTTCATGAGTTGAGCTGAGAATGAAGCGGTGGTTAGCAGTTACTGATCGTTATGGTGGGATATGCAGATATCTTATCCAGACATCCTGGAAATAACAGGATGGCACGCACCATGGATTGCATACTTCTTGAAGGCATTCTGTCCTCAGGCCTATTCGAGATGGTCCGAGGAACTCAAGATAGGCCTAAGGTTCCACGTCCAACTGAAATGGTTCATGAAACGCGAAACTGGCCTCCAATCGATCTAGCGTCACATGTCCTTAACCAGACGTCTCCAAGACCACTATTCACCCTTATAGGCCTAATTGGCGCCATAAGTCGAGAATTGAGTTTCTTTTGAAAATAAAAAGGTAGGCCTTTGCGTGACCTGAAGGTGATCTGTTGGTTAGCCCTAGGCCTGACGTTTGTCAGTCCCGAAGAGAGGCCGAAGGGAGGGTTGGAAAAAGGAGGAAAGCAATTGAAAATTGGTTTTCACATTATTTCATCACACCATTCTCACGAAAATATCAAAATACTTAATTACTAATTAATTCACCTTGCTACCCACACATTGCAAGATGCAGTGGCAATACCAATCGATCTCGGCCTTTTCATCTCTCTTACCTCAACCTACTGCTAATGCAATCAACAGTAACAGCGGACAAAATTTCCTACGACCTGCCAGACATCACACCCACCACAACAACTGGAATCCCACCTTCGCCCCCTCGCGAGCAGGAGGATTCCGAAGTAAGCAGAGAAGCGGAGAATAGGCGAAGCAGATTGTGGCCATGATATATAGCATCCAGTCAAAGCCGACGTGCGTCACGAGTTCCATTGCCAGAGCAGGACCTGAGAAATAGGATTAAAAATCAACACCCCAAGACCCTACGGTCTATTCAATTAATGTACGTGAAAAATGAAGTAACAAGAAAATGATGCAAAGACGGAGGCGTAGGGATTACTCAAGTAGCTGATCGGAGCGAATGATATTCTGTTTTATAGAAATTTTTTGCGCAAGGATGCTTATGAGATAATTTAAATCGTATGTAGCTGCATAGTAGTCCATAAGCAATACTCTTGGGACTTTAAGCATATTCCTTTCAGAAGAAAGAAACGGAATATTGTCAGACTTGCCCAGGAAGAGCATCCACCAACTCAGTCCCATTTCCAAAATCAAAAGTTAAAATTCCATGTTCTACGATAAATACCGTGATAACATTTTTGCATTGACTCGACAATATAAATCTTCCTCAAAATCAATAATAATTCCCCGATAATTTCCACGAGTCATCTCGCTTATTTCATTATTCCCTGACGTTAAAGACAAGCACAAAACAAAACGGCCGTAAAAATTGCGAGGCCGCTCACCGACGGCGAATCCGAGACAGAAGGCGACGTCCGCGATGGCATAGACCGTCCCGTAGACGGCAAAGTGCCTAATGTCGACTAGCCGAGCCAGCTCGGGCATCATGCAGGTGTCCACCATCCCCACGGAGAAGCCCAGCCCGCTCAGCGGGGCGATCAGGTGCACGGCTCGTGTCGATTGAGGCACCTGGCGTTCATACGAGACTCAAAGGAATCCAAGCGAGATGATTGGGGGGGGGGGGGGGGAACGAATGCGGAAACTCACGAGGGCCAGACTGGTTCCCAAAAGGATGAGACCGACCAAGGTAACGACCCACCTTGCTCGTGTCGATTGAGGCACCTGGCGTTCATACGAGACTCAAAGGAATCCAAGCGAGATGATTGGGGGGGGGGGGGGAACGAATGCGGAAACTCACGAGGGCCAGACTGGTTCCCAAAAGGATGAGACCGACCAAGGTAACGACCCACCTGTCAATACAAATAATAATTTTTCCCTATATTCGGATGGGAACAATCACTAACAGCTTAATGACAATGAATGCAACTATTAGAATTCATTTGGAAGCCTTACATAGGTATCCCGGAAATTAATTATTTCTGCTTCGCCGAAGTAGACAGTTCCTTGAATTTGACCATTCTAAGGAATACGTCATCACTCCCTTGCTCATTACTGTACTTATACAGTACGTGTAAGGACACAATCATGCATTAATAATAATAAAAATTTGGCCATATCACGCCAGACGTCGATGCACCCAGTCGCCACAATTTGAGAGCAACCCTCTCACCTTCCAATTTTATGCGCAAGAGTGGGAGATATGCAGGTGCCGAGCAGGTACGAGATGGAAGGCGAGAGCCAGACGACGCCCTGTTGCCAGACCGAGGCGCACATGGTTCGCTCCATCCATAGGGGATACGATGGCTCGAGGATGGCGATCGACATGTTGGCGAAGAGCAGCACTCCTGTCGGCAACATCAAGAACTCGTTGTGGTTTGGGACTTAAAGGGTTTTCGGGGGGATGAAAAATATGCGATCGACCTGCAGCGATGCAGATGTAAGGGTCCATGAGAAGCCGAACGAGGGACGGTCCTGCCATCTTCTCCTTCACCTTCGGCTGTAATGCCACCAGCTGCAACACTGCAACGACAAACAGAAAAAGAGATTTCGAGATTCCCCATCGATTTCCCCATGCCGAGAGGAAAGAGCCGGACCGACTCGCATCGGCGAGAGCCAATCCAGCAAGGACGATGAACGGCGAAGACTTCCCCACGAACTCATACATGACTCCCCCGAACGTGGGTCCAACGACGCACCCGAAAGCCAATCCTCCCAGGGCTATCCCCATCGCGATTCCTCGCTCTCGTTCGTCAGGGTATCGCTCGGCCAGCATTCCCATTCCTTCCAAATGGAGAAATTGTCAGGCCCAATATGATTTGGTTGCAATTCAAGTGCATTTTTTGTGCATACATGTGAACAATCCAGATGCTCTTCGAAATACCAACTTACTTTTTGTTCGTTGTCGTTGCTCCTAGGCATAGTCGTGGTACCATCCACATATTACCCATTCGCCCATCTTCAGGCATTTGATATAATGGCTTGTTTTCTGTTGAATACTGGCTTTTCGATGGAGGTTATCGAATCTCAGAAACCAGGAAGAAGCGGGTGACAGTTTTTCACATTGTTCAAACCGGAACAAGAAGGACTTTTGTGCATTGTCTAAGGTAGAACCATTTGCGAAGTCGGCTTGGATGTTCCATAAATGTCCCATAAATCTTCGAAACTTTGTGAAATTGCATGCGACGTAGGAGAGGACAAGATTCAGAGATCGAAAACGAGAAAATGGAAGTTTCGTTTTAGAATGTACAACCTTGAGGTTACAAACTATTTTTTTAAACTTGGGAAGAAAAGAGGAAAAAGAGGAAGGAAATCCGCTATTTCCCGCGAAATAGCGGAATGCTGGCTTGCCTCGCGAGTGCCTCCTGCGTCTCTCATCACGCTCGCAGTTTTCTTTGCATTCCAGCCAACTTTTTCCTAACATCGTACAATTCATTGCTTCCGCAGCCAACAATTCATCCCCGCAAAAGGGGAACGATCCGAGCACAAACCAGAGACGGTGGAGCAGGAGGACCCGACGCCCTGCAGAATCCGAGCGAGGAGAAGCATCCAGTAAGACCTCCCAAACGCGAACGCTGCGAGGGAAAGAGGCCTTGAGGCGAGGGAGGGAAAGAGACTTTGAGGCCTGGCCCGTCGCCTACTCACCGATGGTGGAGAAGAAGATGATGGTGAATCCGGCGAACATGGGCAAGCTGTACCCGATCCTGAGAGGAAGGAAAGCACGACACATTGTTGAGAATAAGAGGATTTCTATAGAAACTGCAGCATCGTTCTGTTTCGGGAGTCTGCCTGTCTCGCCAGGAAAAAATTCCCGCTATAAACAACAATAAATCCAGCTGGAAAAATCCAACAGTCCTAGCTGGGAACAGCTGGATTTCCAGCTGGTGCGGGTCGGGTGCTGGTGCTATTTCTAGCTGGACTTTTCCTGCTGGATGAAGCTGGGAGTTTCCAGACGTAGACCATAAAATCTAGAGCTGGATGAAGGAAATTTCTCGCTGGAAATTGCCGGAAGCAGGAGAGCTCCTGCTAGAATTTGATGCATTCCTAGATGGAAGCTGGATTGCTCTTGCTAGGCATTACTGAAATTTCAGGAGAAGAGCATTGATACAGAGTGGCACTGGTTCAGAAATGAATTTCAAAATCATCTGTATCCCTACCCAGGTAGCACAACGTTGGCGGGCCGCCCGCTACGCCTGGGAGATGTAGGCAATGGCTCCATTTAAAGGCCTTGAACTGACATGGGAATTCTGATTTTATTTTGTAAATTTGTAGCAGTTATCAAAAGAGGCAACTTGACTCTCAGAGCCTGAGAACTCTATAGGACAGGTCACCATGGCACAAATGTCAAGCTATGAGACACTGGGCTTTTTGGAATATCCCTGCAGTGAAGCGAATCACCTAAGCAAAAAAATTCATCAGCAAACATTCTGAATGGTCTAAAGTAAGTTATGCCTAGGCCTATATTATCATTGCCTGCAGAGAGAAGAAAAACATTCATGCGAGGTTCAAGCTTAGGCTTATGAGCAGACATGGCAAAGGTTGGCTTTATTTAAAAAATTGTTTTTTTGTTTACGGCTAAAACCTAGTTCTTGAAAGCCGTAAAAATTTCAATTTTATTTTTCCTGGCCTGTCAAGAAAAAGTGACATTTGGCAAGGGCCCAGGGCCTAGGCCCTTGCCAAAAGTTCTTTTATAAGCCCGACAAGATCATCTATGAATGAACAGCAGGACTAGCCCAGCCTCTATTGAGCATGACAGTCTCCCCCCGTAATAAAACCGAAACACCCTGCAGGTAGGCTACGCGGGCAGTATTTCAAGTAATCCGGAACAGGACGGAAGAGTGGATTTGGGCGTCTTCGATTTCATCAGATGTGGTGGCAGACTAGTCTATCATGCATATTACACACTCGTACTTTTTGCAAAAAGTGTTTCACTTTTCTTGAATATTCTAACCGTCGAGAAATTCACGTTTTAGCGTGACAAAATAAAAAGTTGTTTCGTGGGACAAATGTTCTTGTCACACCATTGTCCAGCTTTCGAACATAACGTAATACATACACTGATTCTGGATTGAATTCGTATACCACCCAAGAACGAAGGAGACAACTCAGATTGTTGGTGCCATTAGATGACATAATTGCCGCCATTTTGTTAAAATTTGGCTTGATATTTGTTTTGATTTTTTTTTTTGCTCAGGTCTGTACAGTTCTCAATACAAGATCTCCTGACCACCGATACTGAAATGGACGGAACTTCATATGTAGAGGCCATGCATTATGAAGGGGGTGTTCCAGATATGGATATGAAGGTATGGATATGGATATGATTGCATATGAAGGGGAAAAAAAGAGAATGGGAAAAAAGGAAATGTGTACTAGACTGTACATATCTTAATACTGGGAAATACTGTGCCTTGGAATTCATTCGATTTTGTAGACAGGACCTCCATGCTTACAAACCCATCGCATAAATGGTTATTCTCTTGAGCATTACTGTCTGACGGTTTTGTTAATTCCTAGGAGTCATTGAAATGTTTACAAAAATTCTGATATCAAATGTGTAGTTTATTAGTTTTACATGACAAAACATTCGATGCCTGCAATCATATACGTGGCATAATGATGCAGGATGAGAAACTCCAGCAAGATAAGACGCTTTACAGCATGCTCTCCAACTAGCATTTCCTCTTGGATCCCGTTGGAATTTTCCTTCTGGTTAGACAGAATGTTCCTGCTGGAAATTTAAAGCTGGCAAAGTCCAACTGGATTTGGTTCGGCTTCCAGACTGTCTTTTTTTCCCGCTGGAGAAATCCCGAACAGGCCAGCTACATCCAACCACTACATCCAGCAGGAATTTTTTCCTGGATCTTTCACGAAGACAGCCAGACTTACAACGATCGTGCAATCATTTCCGCATAGGAAGGCAATTCACGTTAGCGAATCCCGTCGATGCCTCGCGGGAAAACGATCCCTCATGGGGATCGCACGTACTTGTGGGTGAGGGGTCCCACGAACGGGTTCATGATGAGCTGCACGATCGCCTTGGACGAGAAGAGGAATCCCACTTCCATGTTCTCCCTCCCTTCGCCGCTCTCTGCAATACGAATCGGAGGTTCAACATCGCTTTCCCGCTTCCATCCGGTGGAGTTGGAGGTGGAGGATCACGGTTCGCCTTCCCACCCGATTGATTCCAGTGGCAGCGGGGCACGTCTTCCGTCAGGGAGGAGTTAGAGCCGTGGATGCCGTCCGTCTCTCCTCCCTTCGCGTCCTCCAGGGTAAGGTTCATCGGTTGGGTGACGTCGTCCTCCAGGGTGGCGTTCTTCTGCAGCTGGGTCGTCCCGTTGGGCTGCTCCCGGAAGGAGGCTAGAAGGGCGGGGATCACCGGCACTGCCGACAGAGAAAGAGAAGATCCCAGGTCAATTTTCTATCGTTATTTCATTCACTAAGCGGCTTCTTCTGTCTCGTCCAGTGAAGAGCTGAATGCTGTGGCCTTGGTTAACAAGTTTTGAAAAAATTATTGCAAATAATTTTCATTGGAACCTAATTAGCTACTGATTAGCTAAAAAAATATCTTCTTCTTCAAGTGTGGCTATCAGCAGGTCATCATTGAACTCAACAGGTCGGCCTGAACGCGCTTCATCGGCTAAGCTATAGTCACCAGAAGACCTGAATTTCTGGAACCACCGTTGGCATTTCCTCGCATTTAGAGCTTCCTCACCAAAAAAATCTTGAATGTTTTTCGTGGCTGCAGTCGCGTTATTCCCTTTTTTAAATTCATGAAGAATTATATGCCTAATATGTTCCTCTGACACCTCCATCTTGTTTTTAACGTCTAAGAAAAACGGAGGGCTGTTAACTCGTTAAAACCCACACGTAGACTGAAGACTGACGTCTACATAAGTTAGCATAGAAATATTCCATGAGATGTGCCCAGATATACGTATAAAGAAGACACAAGTTTGGCAATGCGAAGAAACCGCATTACTTATGGGATGACCTGATATGTTCAAGTATAGCGTGTTCTCCATAGGCAACACTTTGCCCATGAAGTCCTAACTTCAACTTCACCGAAAGAGCAGCCATAGAAGGGTTTCTTTCAAGACTGGCATGACGGGTTTGTGGGAATCCCACGATTTCACGCGTGTGGATCAAGATACATTTTCAGAACATACCTTTCTGCTTTCAAATATGTTCCAAATACATTTCTAAAAAGAGAATTCGGGAATTTGAACTGCAATATATGAAAATTTAGCCGGACTGCGAAGGAGAGACGTCGTAGGTGACCTAGAGGGGATTTCCATGCAGAGCACCTCAACTGAAGCCTGCAAATACAAATTTTAAATGATGAAGTTGCTATCGGAAAAAAGGGTTTTCTAAACGAAATAGGGTGTATGTCAAGGTTACGAGATTTTCTCTGCATGGTAACAATTTCATGGAGTTCCCGGTATTCCAGCAAACATGGACGAAAGAAGATGGGGGAGGGAGAAATGGGAGGGAGGAAGGGAGAAATAGGAGGGAAGGAGGGAGAAATGGGAGGGAAGGAGAAACGAAACGCCAGGCCATACCGACTGCGGTGAGAAGCATCCTGTCGACGAGGAGGGCGACGGCGACGACGACGAGGACCAGCCGGCGACTTTCCCGGCATTTTTCCAATGTCCTCCGGAAGCGAGACGCTTCCCCCATGCTCTGTCGACCTGCCGGCAACGATGGCGATCGGCAATACTGAAGAACCGGTGGGGGGGGGGGAATCCAGGGAACACCGCGATAACTTTTCGATAGAACACGAGAAATGCACTTTGCGGCGTCCATGCTCCCACATACACCTACACTCTTAGGAGTAAAATAGCTAACTCCAGTTTCACAACCCTTTCTGGGAAAAGAGCGAATTTACTCCATCACCAAGGAGTAAAATTGCTCTCCTCCTCCGTGAGTAAGAACGCTCCCANTAACTCCAGTTTCACAACCCTTTCTGGGAAAAGAGCGAATTTACTCCATCACCAAGGAGTAAAATTGCTCTCCTCCTCCGTGAGTAAGAACGCTCCCATCAGAAAGTGATAGGGATGTCATGCAAATACGAAAATTCTCATAAATACTGTGTGGTGCTTTCGCTCTCGTATAGGCATTAACCTACCTCTGACTGTACTGATTACAGCACACATCAGAGGGTGGACCATCTCTTATAGGTTCCGTGGAGTGTCCAGGACATCAGTCCCTTATTACCTGATCTAATTGAGGCAAAATTAAATAATTTTCATGAAAACTCTGTATATTCCAGATCTCCTATGCAGATAAAACCATACGCCTCCCAAAAGGGTTCTCAATAGGAATATGAGCTTGTTTATGGCCTGAACTCCATGAATATGTCTTGAATATGTGGATAACAAATGATGAAGTATCCGTGTTTATTGATTCCTATAATGAGACTATGCGAGAGGTACGCAAAGTACTAAAGAATAATGTGAGGGACTATTCCAGGGAAAGAGTGAAGGGATGGTCCACCCTCTGATGTGTGCTGTAATCAGTACAGTCAGAGGTAGGTT